GAGCGAGAAAAGAGAGAGACCGAGAGAGAAAAGCGAGAGAGAAAAGAGAGAGACCGAGAGAAGAAGTCTGAACTAAGTTTAGATTTAGATTTAGACCTAATTTACTAAGCAGCCCAAAAAATAAGCCCATGGAATTAAAAAAAAAGCCCAAATTTTAACCCTTGTAAAAATCGGAATATCGGACCGATTTTTCACTAAAATATCGCTCAAAATATCGCCAAATATCGCCGATAATATCGTTGGCGATATTTTGGCCGATTTTTTATGACCGATTTTTTTTTTCGAGCGATATCCGATATATCGGCAATATATTGCGATTTTGACAGCATAGATTATGAGAACTTCCATTCTACGTAAGAACGAAAAAGTACGTGTTGAGGTTATTGTGTTGTAACTGATGTTTTGGTTTTGGAACACAAATAATAGATAACCCCGGTGAGCATGGGAGGGAGATTACGGACCGCATGTCCGAGCTTGAAACGTATATACAGCAGTGTGGTGACATCTTGAGGTCAAACCTTTCGACAACATTTGTTCTACATTGTTGATTGTAAATATCTTAATTGTTATTGTTCTCTTCTTTTTTTTCTGGGTAATTTGGATTTGTTTCAAAAGATATCGGGTGTGTAATAAAGTGTTTTTTATCATAATTTATTTATGCGGAGTTTTTTCGAAATCTATAGATCTGTTTGTTGTTTGAAATCGTAGGCAATAGGCCATGGTTAAAGGTGTAAGTTATTCAAATGTTTGTTGCAGGGAGTGGTTGAAGAGGGTGGGTGGTTTTATGCCGTTTGGTTGTTGTCATGTTTGTTTTGATAGCATAGAGATATTTGTCTATTTGGCTGTCATATACTTCCTTAAATCATTTGTTTTTAATACAGCAAATTAAAATCTTTTGTAAGGTTTAAATCCTTTCCTTTATGGATGTTGGGTTACTGGATATTGCTTTATGACCCTTTAGTGATCTATCATTACTGTTTTTGGTTTGTTAAAGGTCAATTAAGGAAAATTAACAGAAACAATTATTTTGACCAGATCAATCCACTTTTAGGGGCTGTTTACCAAACGCTTACTGGGTAAGTGCTTACCAAGTCACATTACCTTACCGGATGAATATGACAAGGACCAAAAATCTTAGCCGGTAAGAACAAGACAACGAACAAGAGTCTTACCGTGTAAGTGAAGGTGACGATTCTTACCATGATAAGAGCTTACCAAGTAAATTATTGCATACGGTGTTTTCGTGGAGTAAAATCTTACCCGATAAGTAAGTAATGGTGTTGAATTTTACCTGTAAACACTTATCGAGTAAGTTTTTGGTAAATGACCCCTTAATCATTCTTTTTCCAGTATTTTAACAAAATTACTGTCTTCACAAGTAATACATCCTCAATGTATGGAGACACCAAAAATGAAAAATAAAACGAAATTTTTTATTGGATCCGCAAGTAACACATCACAAGTCCCACACCCGCACTTCTTAGGATGTCCACTTAGGGGAAATAATAGGAACCTGAAGGGCATGAAGGCAAGCTTGATCATGTAAACCCAGAAACATTATCCTCTATAATGTAATGTGCTTTCAATACCAATAAAAAGTAATTACCTGGGATGCCTGTACCATAAGAAATTGCGAATTAGGTCAGGGTGGCTGGTGGTTTCGGGATCTCGTGGAACACCAAAATAGCCTTTAAAGAGAAGTTGACTTATGCTCATTGTTTGCATTATATATATACTTTCTTTTTCTTAAGACATCCTTCCGCAAGTTACGAGTTGGGTTACGGAAGTATAGACTTTTTGGTGAGTATAGCAGAGAATTGGTTAAGAAGTAAATGCAATCGGTCAAAAAGACTATTTTGGTCAACTTTCCTATTGTAAATCAATCTAATGACTACAGGGCAAACTGGTGAATGTACCAGATTATTAATTAATTGGTCCCCGAAATTAATCGGTCATTCTCGTGGAAATGTAACTGTTGTTATAATTAATATGTCTAGGCTTGATATTATTTTTCAGAATTTTTTTTTTTTTGATATTTTAAATAAATGTCACATTTATTAACTTTTCATTATAAATTTTATGTGTCTAATAGGATTATTTATTTATTCACGATAGGATTATTTATTTATTCACAACTTGTTTAAAGAATATTTCATTTTTATTATCCTCACAAGTTGTATATTTAATCATTAAAAACTCCCAATTTTGGGCTTTGGGCTTCTAGAAAACAAATGATTTTTTTCATTTGGAGCTCTTGAAAGTGTATTGATTTGTATGAACAAATCACTAACGTAAGCATTTACTTATACTTTCAATTAAAAAAAGTTAAAAATGTTCACATGAATAAGACAAAAAGAGGTTAAGGTAACAAATTATTTAACTGGTCCATCTTAAAAAATCGTAATCACTAACAAGCGATGAGACTATTAGTAACCAGTCTTGGACCTCTTATAACCTGTCTCAAGTTGTCTTAGGTTTCAAGCCTACTTACCTATCTTTAAGGCCAAAGCTAAGCTTGTAGGATTGTAGAGAAAGCTATTGTTATAGGACTTGACCAAACATCTCACGACACGAGCTGGTGATAGCCATGCAACACCAATTGAGTTGCCTTATCTATAGATGTGAGAAACCATCATGCCAGAAGAGCGGGCAAGTAAGTACAGGAACAAACCTGGAGTAAAAGGGAAACTAGATACTGACTTTAGTTGATCGAGAGCTTTGTTCAATTGCCAACTAGACTTAACGAAGTTCAAATCATTTATATCTTGTAGATACTAGCATAATATTTCCAATTCATAGATCTACGCATGCCCACAATAGTAGTACCCACTCTACAACCGGAGTGGTTAATAATGCACGTAAGTATGATGATATTGAGCCATGCGGCTCTTTTTTTGTAGATCATTATTATCAGTAGCACTTCTAGTCATTACATTTAGAAATATTTTTATAGGTGACTATGTTGTTTTTGTTTTGTCATAATATTTTAAGCAGTTCAATAGCAAATATTAAATAAAAGAGTAAGAGGAAGAGATATGACACTGAAAGTTTAAGTGGATCGAACAAACACCCGTCCAAATTAGCTCATTGGACTTCTTTCAACACTCTTTCCACAATAACTAAATACTTCTTTTAAGGCAGAGTGATACCAATACAGTTCTTGAGTTTCTTTCACTTGTCAAAGCTTCATTGAGCTTTAAGATGATTTACCAATGTTGTGATAACCAGGTATCCAGATATAAAAGTTTGGGGTGATTTTTGAAAGGTGATGGTAAGTGGAAGGGTTTAATGTGTTAATATGTTTAAAATGTTATTATATATGAGATATTTGTCTTATCTTATGGGTAAGTGTGATTAATTATTTTAAAAACCTTCATCACCTCATTGTTTTGAAATAGTATTATTATGAGATAAATGTCTATTATCTCATTGGGATGTGAATGAAGTAGATAAGAAGGATAAAATAAGCTTTTACTGTGTATGTGCTCTTGTATGAAAAAGAAAACAAACCTGTAAGAGAAAAGAAGAAAAGTTGATTCTGTGATTTCTGTTTGAAATCTTCTTGTTGTGTTAATTCATCTTCATCTACGTGAAAATAAGGTGAGTTTAGTTTATTAACTTTCCTTATTTGGTATTTGGAATTTGAACCGTATGGTTCTTACGTGAGGATGATGATAAAACTGTTTTTGGATGCTATTTAAGCATGATGATGGAATTGGGAATAAAACCTTATGGTTCTTTATATGAATTATTGTTATGAAACTGTTTTGATGTTATTATTATTGGCAAAAT